TGAAAAGCCATTTTTATTTTTCACACAGTGAACAGACTGGCGCCTTGTCAACCTGAGCAGTGGTCAGCGGAGCCAGTCCAGGTGCAGAAGAAACAACGACACATGGGATTGCCACGCTCGCTCTCCACTCGCCGCCAGAGCTCCCAGGCCTACAGCTTGTCCCAGGGCCCCGTCTCCTCTCTCCTTCCGCTTCCCAGCTCCTTATCTGACCAAACTGACAGATCCAAATCACTAGACATGTTACATCTTCCTCTTCACCCCCACAGACAATGTCTCCGTTACCTATTTACAAACACGACAGCTCTTTAAAGCCATTAGCTACTGTGACCTTGACATGCCCTTGTCAACATGGCATTCTGACAGTGATTCCCTTCCCACCTCTACCTTCCTCGGGCCCCTTCAGGCCTCGTACTAGGCCCTGGCTTTTGCCAAGGAGTCTCCAGGAGCCAGGTGGGTCCTCACTCAACCCATTGGATCCTGGCTCTTCGTGGTGGTGGGTGAGAGTTCCCTCCGGGACCTGCTGGCCAGTTCGCCTGCAGTTCCCGCTCACCCCAGCAGAGGCAGCACACAAACCAGGGCCTCGGCCTGCCTGCAGGGGGCTTAGCACTTCGCAGCTTGTCCACCCAGACCCAGCTCCAGTGGCTTGAGTCTCCTCTGCTTGTGGCACGCATTTAGAACTCACTCCAGGCAAATGACAAGCCAGGGCCCCATCACTGCCAAGTCTTGGCTCTCCCACCCCATCACGGCAGGCTCCCCAGTGCCCAGGTTCTTGCCAAGCCCAGCTTGTTCAGGATACAATTTCATAACTAGTCTCATGCTGACAGAGGACTCCTCAGCAAGTCCCATTCCTGTCCGGAATCCAGCCACGGGTCACACTCAGAGGCTAGGCCACCATCCTCTCCATCCTGCAGTGGTCTCTTCCTTAGTCACTCCATTTTCACCCTGGCTCCTGACAGGCTACTTCGTGTGGCAGCCGGAGGGATCTTGTTGCAATGTAAACCAGGTCATGGCAGCCCCATCTGTAAAGCCACAGTGGTCTGCCTGGCACCGAGTCCTTCTCCTGGTCTTATTGTGTGCTCTAGCCCCTGTCCACCTCTGTGACCTCATCTCAGCCACCCTCCCCTCACACCCTATGCTCCAACCTCCAGCCTTCTTTCTGATTCTTGAGCTGAGTGGTTCTTTCCTACCTCAGGGCCTTTGCACAGATTTCCCCCTCTACAAAGGGCTAGTCCTTGACGTAATTCTGGTCAAGTTTTCCCTCCTCAGAGGCCTCTGCTAACCACACTGCCCAGCCATCACCTAGTTGCTATCTTTGTAGTAATTGTCAGCACCCCACCTTTGGGTTTGTTTTCCATCCCTGCCCACTAAAACATAAACCACAGCAGGGACAATGTGGTTCAATGGATCACCAGGGCCTGGACTAGGGCTGGCACATGGTAGGTGCTCAATACACAGGTTTCTGGTGAAGTCAAAGACAATGATGACCTATTGCCAACCCCAAGCAGGACTGGACTGGACAGGAGCATGCCCGACCCTGCAGCCCCAGGCCTGGGCCCTGTGGCCCAGCCACACTTGCTGGCCCTGCCCACGCGCAAGACGCATTCCCAGGGCACTTGCTACCAGCCCATTGCTACGACTCCCCCGCCCAGGGCTCCGTGTGCTGAGCTGAAAGCCTGCAGTGTAACACTGCTGGAGTCACAGTTAAGCTTGCCAGGACCTATATACCCTGGCACCCTCAAAGCCACCTGTGGCCAGCCGGCCCCAGGGGAAGCAGCCTGAAAGAGTTAGTCAGAACATGGGGCTTGGAGCCTGGGTGTGAATCCTGGCTCTGCTGTCCTGTCCATTACTCTAGGCAAGTAACTCTCATGCTCTCAGCCCTGGTGCCCTCATCCGTGAAATCGTGAAATGGGAGAATGGGCAACTGTATCCATAAGGACGTTCTGAGGGTTTGTTGCCTGTCACCCACTCCCTCTGCCTCTGGTGACAGCACCCGTGGCTCCTTACAGAGCTCCCCTGACCTAAGCCAGGCAATGCGAAGCAGCTCCAAGGCTCTGCTGACAGCTGTGAGGCAGGACCAGCTGCCAGCTGGCCCTGCCCGAGCACTGGCTCTGAGCCAGGTGCACCTCCAGGCAGTCTATCCATCCAGCACTTCGGGCCCACAGCAACCCTCGGTGGATGGGAGAATGTGACCAGAGAGGTTAAGGAACCTGCCCAAGGTCTCCAAGCTAGGAGAGGTGGAAGGGCAGGATTTGCACCAGGTGCTCAGGCTGCAGTCTGCCCGGCTAGTTTTCCACCAGGGCTGCTGGGCAGTAAGCCCAGGGCTGCTTGGCCATCGTACACCCCCTCCATGAGCCTGTCTAGGATGAAGGGCACAGAGAAGAATGCAGAGCGGAGAGGTGGAGAAGGGAGACTGCTGGCAGTTCAATCACCTGGATCTGGCAATGCCTAAGCATCCCACGTCAGGGCCTTTCAGTTCTGCAGGCTGACAGTCTGCTTAGAGTAACCACTCTTCATCACCTGCCATCTAAGATGACCTGCCTTGCATTATACATCTTTGCCCCCAGCTGGGTTTTGGGTTGTGATAAGGGTCAATCAGAGAATGCCTGGTGCTGCCCTGCCCCCAGCCCCTCAGCCTGCGCTCAGAGCCAGAGTGCTGGAGAGTCAACACCCAGAAACAGCCTGCAACCCACCATGAGCCCAGTGCCCTCACCCCCAGGGTGGGGAGTGGTGGCAAACGTTGGCCTTGTGCCCCGTGCTGCCCCTAGAACTCCCCGGCCAGCTGGTACTCCACTTGCCTAGTGAACTGGCTCCTTCCCTTTCCTGTCCCCTACCAGGAACCACCTCCCAAATACACTACTTGTTCTCGAATCCCTGTCTCAGAGTCTGCTTCTGGGGAAATCCAAACCAAGACAACATTTGCACAGCATGAAGCAGATGCTCACGAGTCAGCGGCAGCTACTGTTATTCCCTCCCTCCTCCATCTGCCCGAGCTGCTGGGAAAGCTCCAGCCCCAGGCCCGGCCGCACGCACTGGTCCAGATCTCCAGGCTGTGAGTGTAGGGGAGGGCTGGTTCCCACCGCCAGGTCCCGTGGTCCCTTGGCCTGTCCCTGCAGGAAACTGTCCCTCCAGCTCCTCAGTAAACACGGATGAAAGGCCACGGCCACAGAGGCCAGGACCTCAGGCTCAGCTTGTCTAACTAAGGCTGGCTGGTTGGGGCTGGATTTTGCCCAGGGCACTCCAGCGTCCCAAATCCTTGCGACACCAGGATGCCTTGAGCTCTTTGTGATCCTTTGGGTCGTAGAAACCAGAAGTGAGTGACTCCCACCCCACCCGGAGCCACTCTATCCTCTGGATTCGACCCAGGGCACCAGGCTGCCAGGACTTCTCTGCAGCCTCCGGTGTGTGCAGTCTGCGTTAGGGACACGGCCGTGAAGTCACTCCGCCAGGGCTGCAGGCCTGCACCTGCCACTGTCCAGCTGTGTGAAGCACCTGCTCTGCGCCTCGGTTCCTCATCTGTGAAATGGGACAATCACAGCACCCCCGTGAAGGCTGCTCATGGGCTGTAATTTACTCACATATGATATACCCAAGCGCTCACAGTGGTGGCTGGGTCCCAGGTGGCACTCAGTGTAACCTTTCATTTCATTAGATCAGCACACTGACTCTTCAACATAAACTCTTTTGTACCTTTAGAATCAGTACCATTTGCATGTATTATTACCCACATAAAGTAAACAAACTAACTAAAAAGTAAAAACAAAAATAAAGTAAAAATTACAACCACACCTCAGTCATAGAACAAGAAAGTAGATGTGATGGTCATGTGTTCACTGGGCTGGGCCACAGGGAGCCCAGACATTTGGTGAAACATTACTCTGGGTGTTTCTGAGAGGGTTTATTTATTTATTTTTGTTAATCCTCACCCAAGGACATTTTTCCATTGATTTTTTTAGATAGAGTAGAAAGGAGGGAGGGAAAGAGGGAGAGAGAGGGAGGAAGAGATGGAGAGAGAGAGAGAGAGAGAGAGAGAGAGAGAGAGAGAGAGAGAGAGAAAGAGAAACATCGATGTGAGAGACACACATGGATTGGTTGCCTCTCATATGACCCAGACCCCAACCAGGGCCAGGTATTGAACCTGCAACCCAGGTACATGCCCTTGACCGGGAATCAGACTCGTGATCCTTTGGTCCATAGGTTGATGCTCTAACCACTAAGCCAAACTGACCAGGGCTGAGAGAATGTTTTTATTTTTATTTTTTAATTTTATTTTTTTAATCTTCACCAGAGGATATTTTTTCTATTTATCTTCAGATAGAGTGGGAGGGAGAGGGAGGGAGAGAAAGGGAGAGAGAGAGAAAGATCGATGTGAGAGGGACACATTAACTGGCTGCCTCCTGCATGACCCCAACCAGGGCCAGGGACAAACCTCAACCAAGGTACATGCCCCTGGCCAGAATCGAACCCATGACTCATTCATCCGTGGGCCGTCGCTCTACTGCTGAGCCAAACTGGCCAGGGCCTGAGAGAATGCTTTTAGATGAGATTAACAATCTGCTTTATTGGTAGAATAAAGCAGATTGCCTCCATCATGTGGGTGGGCCTCATCCAATCAGTTGAAGGCCCGACTAGAGCAAAAAGACCTTCCACTGCATAAGAGAGAATTCTCCAACAGCCTGCTTCACCTACAGGGCAGGTCTTCCTGTGTGATCGCCTCTGAACCAGGACATTGGTTCTTCCTGTGCCTGCAGCCTACCAATCCACCCTGCAGCGCTGACTTGCCGGCCTTCACAACTGCATGAGGCAATTCCATAACCTCTCTCTCTCTCTCTTTTGCTCTCCCTATAGGTTCTGTTTCCCTGGAGACCTTGACTAATAATACATTTGCAAAACAGCTCAGACCTTGGCAGAAAGAATAATGAAGCAAGCACCCATCCTAGCACCCTACTGAGAGTGATCCAGGCCCCGACCCAGCCCTGCTCAGGGGCCCCCAGAACTCTTACTTGAACATGGCCTCTCCTGGTCTGGGAACACAGTGGGGGGCTGGGGAGTCAGGGCTGGCTCTGGCTTGCTGGGAATGACGACCTCAGCACTGTTCTTTCGCTTAGCAGACAAATTCCTTTCCTTCTTATTACCTGTTGGAAAACAATTGTTTATGTCAAATACTGAGTGCAAGCAGAGCTGGGACATTCTGCTCAGGCATCTGTGTATTTGTTCGTTCACTTATTCATTCAACAAATACTTACTGAGCTCCTACCCCATGCCAGGAACCATGCTCGCTTGGGGTCACAGATGGGAATAACGCAGACAAAGAAACGAGTTTGCTGAGCGCTGCCATGGGCCAAGCATTGCATTTAGGCCAATAAATGAAATATCCTAGGACACACACAGGTTTTCAGATGGACACATTTATGAGTAGGGACGTCTTACAATAGATGAGGGGTTGGGTTGAACTGGCAGCACGGTACAGGAAACAACGGTGCAACCGAGGGCACTGGGGATGAAAGAATACAGGAAAGCGCATTTTCCGCCCGCGAGGACAGGCGGCTGGACGGATGAGTGCGGCCGGGACAGAAGAAGAGCCCGCAGCCGGAGGACAGGCTAGCAGGTGCGCAGTGGACAGTGAGGGGCTCGCATGGATGACAGGGTCACAGCTGGAAGGCACACGGCAGGTGAGCGGCTGGGGCCTGGGCTGGCGAGTGCAGCCGGACACTGGAGGGCCCCAGGCCCTGCTTTAGGGTCAGTGTTTCCCAAAGTGGGGCACCTGGACCCCGGGGGAATAGGAGATGATTCCAGATGCCATGTGGACAACAAGTTTTTAAGCAATTATGTGCCTGAATGTGTATGGGGAAAAAATGTAACCAGCACATCAACCCTTGATTTCATTAATATTATTGCTTGAAATAATCCTAGAATTGTGAAGAAAAGAAAGAGAAAGGAAGGAAGGGAGGAGGGGAAGGTGGTGAAGAGGGGGGAGGGAAGGAGAAAAGAAAGGTGCTGGTTTAAATAACAGCTCAAAGTTAGTACAGGTACTTGGTGCAGGCGGCAGAAACTGTGCAGGAGGCTCGCGAACAGCTCAGGGTCAGGGAAAACGGCTCCAGGGCCTCGGAGCCTGCGGAGAGTTAAGAGCGGGAGGACAGGCTCAGGACCACCAGGCAGACACCAGCCTCGTGGGCAGGGCGGCCGGGGATGAACAGAATGAAGCAAACAGCAGGGAGAAGAGTTGGGCAGAGTGTGGGAGCCCGGTGGGCTGGGGCGGAGAAGCCAGGAAGTTCCTGCTGAAGGGCAAGGTGACGTGTCCCAGCAGAGGGGATCCAGGGCCTGTGTGGCCCAAAGGAGAGGGAGTCCCAGAATCAAGGGCCCCTCAAGATTCTTGGGAGCTCGGGGCAGACGCTGGGGACATGTGTGGGGTCTGTCAGACTCACACTAACTTCTCCGCTGCCCTCTGTTGACTTTAGAGGGACACACATTTCTCTACACGTTCTGAAGTAGCTGCCCCCTATCGGCCTGACATCCAGGGCTGAGCGCAGAGGGTGAGAGAGGGCCTGCTATGTCCAACGGGACAAGGCAAAGGATAGAGGGGTGAATGACTACAGACTGGCTCCCCAAGTGCTGACTAACGTGACGGCAGCAAGAGCGACAGGCACTGGGTTAGGTCCTCGGCACACAAATATCCTGGAAGGCAGAGGCGGGCAGAGTAATGGCCCCAACGTGGCCCTAATCCCTGAACCTGTAAACACGTTAGGTTACAGAACAAAGCGGCTTAACCCTGGTAATCAGCTAATGTTAAGATGAGGAGATTATCTTGGATTATCCCAGTGGACCCAGTGTAATCACAAGGGGCCTTGGAAGTGGAAGAGGAACAGAGTTTCTGCCTGGGCTGAAGATAAACTTCTGAAGATAGTGGTGATGATGGCAGAACAGCATGAGAGTACAAATACCACAAACTGTGCTCCTAACGATGGTGAAAACGGTAGATTCTGTGTTACGTAAATGTTACCATACTCACACGCACGCATGCGCACATACACACATACGCGCGCACGCTCACACATTCACCCCCACGCACACACACATGCGTGCACACATGCGCACGCGCACACACGCACATTCACACACACGCGTGGAAGAGGGCGGTGTGACTACGGGAGGAAGACACAGAGATGCCACATCACTGCTCCAAGGTGCAAGAAGGGGCCGGCGCCAAGGACTGTGGGAACCCACGAAGCGGACAAGACCAGGGAACAGGTCCCCCCTGGAGCCTCCCGAGGGAACACAGCGCTGCTGACACCGTGATTTTAGCTGTGAGACGCACAGCAAACTTCTGGCCTGCACACGTCAGACAGTGCATTTGTACGGTTTGAAGCACCACGTTTGTGGTATGTATTACAGCAGCAATGTAAAACTAATACAGACCTTACAGAGCAAGGCTCTGTGGTCAAGTCATTTGTTCAAGGTCACAGAGCTAGGAAGTGATGGCATCAGCCTTAGACCAGGACTGCAGGGCTCGGAGCCTGCCCTTAACCCCCTATCTACGGTCCTCCTCCTCTCCGCAGGACAGTCCTGCAGAAACTATGGCCAGGAGGCCTGCCTCAGCCCTCACAGTCTATAAAGGACATTTTCTAGGGCTCCAGAGGGTCAGACTCTTGGCGAGTGGCCTGGGTCACTGCCGGCCTCATCCTGGCCCACACTCCCTGGCCCTGTTCCTGTCCTTGGGCGCACCAGCTCTTCCCTCTTTAAGCCCTGTAGGCGTGCTGTTCCCATGGCTGCCTCCTCCTCCTCCTGCGCCAGCCGAAGCGCCACCTCCTCTGAGAAGGCTTCTCTGACCATTCCAGCCTCCAGCCCTTCTCTGACCCCACCCCGACAGTGTCCTGCTTCATAATCCTCGTAACTTTCGAGGCTCTGAATCCCTCAGCCGACCCAGCCCTCTCCTTTCCCAGTCACTGGAAGAATAACTCCTGCCCTTCTCCGTGCGGCTCACTCGCTGCCTCCCACTCACCAGGCGGACAGATGGAACGGGAGAGGGGGCGGGAGCCATCGGGGCTCCACCGGCCACTCCCCCTGCTGCCAGCCACCCACCGCTCTCAGGGCACACAGCCCTCCCACAGTGATGCCGCCAGCAGTCCCGCTCTGCCAACACCTGCGGTCGGGTCTGCCCACCTCAGGGGGCAGTCCTGAATGGCCACCGGCCCAGCTCTTACCAGTTGGAAAGGCAATAATCTGCCCCCCTCCTATCAGAGTCTGTGCCTCGTTCTCATTTGTCTCACAACTTAGAAGGAAAAGCAGAGGGGTGGGGTGCCTACTGGCTCCTCAGAGCCCAGCTGTCCCTTTGTCACCATCTGGTTTATTTATTTAGCCCAGTGATTAAGAGCTCAGGCGCTGGGCTCAGCCTGCTGGAGGAGCTGGATCCCGCTCTGTGCCTGCCTAGCGGTGACCTTGGGCAAGTCATCTGACTTCTCTGTGCTTCAGTTCCCCTTTTGTAAAACAAGTACTTCCTTGGGTTGTGAGGATTGAATGAAGGACTGTATGTATAGCCCTTGGAATAGTGCTCGGTACATGTTATTAAGAACTCAACAGCCCTGGCCAGTTTGGCTCAGCGGTTAGAGCGTCGGCCTGCAGTCCGGAGAGACCCGGGTTCGGTTCCCGCTAAGGGCATGTACTTCGGTTGCAGTTTGTCCCCGGCTCTGGTTGGGTCGTGCGGGTGGCAGCCACTCGATGTGTCCCTTTCACGTCGATGTTTCTCTCTCTCTCTCTCTTCCTCTCTCTCCCTCCTGCTCTATCTGAATAAAACATGGAAAAAATGTCCTCGGGTGAGGATAAAAAAAGAAAAAAAGAACACAACAATAAGGCAATTGTTATTATTTATGTGTTTATACACTTACTGTGTGCTTCCCCTGCTAGGATGAAAAGCTGCAGCAAAAGGGGCGGGGCCTGGTGTCCCAGCACCTTGTACGGGGCACGGGCATGCCCAGTGAATGAATGAGCGAAGGGATGAACAGCCCAGAACCACGCACATCTTCCCAGGGTCCTGCTGACCGGTCTGGAGTAAATGCTTAGGATTAGTTCAGAACCCCAGGCTCACGCTGGGTCTGGAGAGACCTGACAACAGGCCCCTGGGGCTCCCTCCTGCTCCTCTCAGTGGGCATCTGGCTCCTGCTGGGCTAAAGAAGAGGCTGCTGATGAAAGGGGGCAGATGAGGGTGGCAGGAGGCAGCGTGCCACCCTCTGTGCGCTCACAGGTCAGACAGCACCGTGGCCAATGCGGGGCCTGCCAATTGAATTGCTAAAAACTGTAAAATGTCAAGAAAGTTCTCTCTTGTCCTATGCTCCCTCTCAAACTGTGCCTGGAGTCCAACTGTTCTCCCTCTGTGGCCTCGTCCTTCACACCTGGAAGGGATTTTCATGCCTCCCGTTTGGGGTGAGGGTGGGGGGGCTTGGTCACCCTCCTGACAGCCCTCCCCTTCCCTCCCCACCTCCCCACTGCAACATACACCTGGGGGTGTCACACGGAAGCATATCACCATTGCCTCTACCACCAGACACTTCAGGTGGGCCCCGCCCCACCACTGTCTGGACAGGCTTCCTGGGCAGGTGAGTGCCGCAGCTGGGGGCAGTCGAGGGGAGGAGCTGGCCTGTGCCCTGACGACACCATGGGAGCAGAGGAGGCCCCAAGGGCAAGCGTGCTGGGGTGCAGAGACAGCTAAGTGTCGAGAGGGAAACAGGGAGCCAGGTTTCAGGGTTCGGCGTGGAAAGGAGAGGAAATGTGGTGATTCGGGCAGAGGGAACCACCCAGGCAAGGGTTGGAGGTGAGAGACGACATGTGTGAGGGACACAAGAGCATGTCTGAGGGACAAAGGTTCTCTCTGGCAACATCAACCATTGGGTGTCACTGCCTGTTATTATTTCCCCCCAAAACTCCTACGATCAAGTCCTAACACCTAATACCTCAGAACGTGACTGTGTTTGGAGACAGGGTCTCTAAAAAGGTAATTAAGGTGAAACAAGTCAGTCATGGTGGGCATGGATACATCTGACCGGTGTCCTTATTAGAAGAGGAAATTAAACAGACACACAGAGGGAAAACCATATGAAGACACAGCCAGAAGACAAACATGCCCGAGCCAGGAGAGCACATTTCAGAAGAAACCCACCCTGCCCACACCCTGATCCTGGCTCCGAGCCTCCAGAACCGGGAGAAGATACATTCCCGTGGCTGTTTCAGCCGCCCTGGCCTGGGGTCCACATGGACGGACACACTCAGCGCCCGAGTCACACGTTCCCTCCTTTCTCTTCCTTAGGTTCACTCACGCTGCCCACCTGGTGGGTCTTGAAATCGGATCCAAAAAGTAGGGCACACCCAGCAGGAGCAGCAGAGGCGCAGGAGCTCGGCCGGGAGAACGAGGACACGGCAGCGGCCCTCCCCACGCCCACCAGCTGATTTTCACTCTACTTTCCAGGGTCTTTTCTGGAAGACCGCGGGTGGGCAGCTGCGGCTCCTGCCTGCCCAGCAGGCTTTGTCTGAAGACTCGCCTGGATTTTCCTTTGGAGACCATTGTCATTCATGCTGTTTGGGTGGTGATGGCCACATCTGGGTCTGGACCTGGCCAATCGGAGCCACAGTGACTAGTTCAGAGATGTGACCCAGGGTGGGTTTAAAACCCAGAGTTGGGACTTTTGCTGGAGATTTTAAGAAGAAAAATCCACTTTCTGATGGAGTTGCGAAGCCAATGTCTCACTTCTGTGGATGCAGAGCGCCTGCCTGAGCATGGCACCCAGACAGGCAAGAAGGCAGAGGCAGAGGGAGGAAGGGGAGGGGAGCAGAAGAGAATGAACAGAGAAGGGAAAGGCAGGGGAGAGGAGGGGAGAGGAGGGGAGAGGAGAGCGAGCAAGGAGTCCTGCTAAGCTCTGGACTCCTCAGTTATCTAAGCCAATACGTAGTCCCTTCTGCTTAGGCCAGTTGGTGTGTGGATGCTGCTAAATACCCACAACACGCAGGACAGCCCCACAACTGCCAGACATGCACCTGGAACTTCAGGGTTCCTTGGAGGCCTCTGCCTCTTGCAGTCAGCAGGGACCTAACTGATACACCTCCCTGGCCTGTAAGATGGTCTTCCTGAAGCTGAATTCAGAGGATGGCTGCAAACTTAAGTCCCGCTCTTAGATCCAGAGACACCAAAGGCAAAGAAATGCCACATAAGGCAGAGCTTACTTTTGGAAGTTGGGTTAAATTCCAGCACCACGAGGGTGTCAGGGCCCTGTGGAAGGGGTCCTTTTGTCTGCTGGTCCTCAGGAGCGTCCTTCTGCACTGACTCTCCCCTGGAAAGAGGGGGGTCATGTCTGGGATAGCCCACCAGTGCCTCGTCCTCAGGCTCGGGCTCAGAGACTACATCTTCTTCAATGGAGTCATACTCGTCACTGGAACAATCCTCTTCTTTCCTTTGTAGATTTACACTACGCTCTAGGCTTTTTCTTAGCTCCTGCCAAAAGTCAAGGAAAGTGACAGATGAAATACATTACTTTGATAAAAACTCATTTGAAATAGGTCATTGGAACCAAAGAACTATTCCCACCAAACCAACATTTACCCAAATCATCTCAATCCCTGTGCCGTCACCACTTTGAAGATGAGAAAACAAAGGGCAGGGACAAACGAGTAACTCTCGGAACAGAACAGTGTCTGCAGCAGGGACAAACGAGTAACTCTCGGAACAGAACGGTGTCTGCAGTACTAATTGCGCTGTTCACATGCCCGGGATGCCATGAAGAGTGTGTGTGTGCACACGCATGTGTGTGCACGTGTGTGAGAGATGTTTGGGTTGGGGCTTGTTAAAACAGATTGTGGGGGTCCCACCCGCAGTTTCTGATTCAGTGAATTGTGGATGGAGCCCAAGAGTTTGCATTTCTAACAAGGTGATGATGATGCTCTGGTCCAGGGCCATACTTTGAATATGAAATCCCAAAGGCCTCCAGATGGTCCTGAAATTCCAGATGGTAAATGTCTGGTAGACAGTTGTGGGGGGCTGTCCTGTGCACTGAAGGATGTTTAGAATGTCAAAATATTTAGCACTTAACTATTACTGCTTGACAGCTTTTCATGTGATTTGTCTCCATAAGACTGCAGATTTACAATCTTAAGGCCAAGAATTAAGATAAGAGTGACCAGAAAATGTATCACCAAAGCCAAGACACTTTCGAGAAAGAACACGACTACATTTACACTGGGACAAAAAGTGTGACATGGACTATTTGGGCACACCGGTACGTTTGGCCATCCTAGCTTTACTGCCCCTGTAGCCCTCATAGCATCTAACATACTTATGAGAAAAGGAGAAGCAATGAATAAAGGTTTGGTGGTTGACCAGTAAACTTAATAGCTGTGTGGTAGGCTGAATGACTCCCCAAAGATGTCCAAGTCCTAATCCCTGGGCCCTATAATTCAGTGAGGGCTCCTGAAGACGTGAGAAGCACTGATTAGAAAACTTGGATAATTTGAGAGAAATCATCCTCAACAGACCAATGACAAGCGTGGACATTAAAGGTGCTGCTGGCGAGGAAATGAGGATCATGCTATTGGAAACTAGAGGAGAGAGTGTCTTATAAAATGGCAAAATTGTAGCTGAATTGTGTCCTACAATTTATGTGGCAAGTAACACTGTAATGACGGACTTGGATATTTAGCCAAAGAGATTTCCAAGCAAAGTGTTGAAGATGGAGCCTGATTTCTTCTTGCTGCTTAGAAAAAAAAAAAAAGTGAGTGGAAAGAGACAGACTGAGGAGGAAACCTGTTAAGTAAAAAGTAACTGGGATCTGCCCTGGCCAGTTTGGCTCAGCGGTTAGAGCATCGGCCTGCGGTCCAGAGAGACCCGGGTTCGGTTCCCGCTAAGGGCACGTACTTCGGTTGCAGTTTGTCCCCGGCCCTGGTTGGTCCTGCGGGTGGCAGCCACTCGATGTGTCCCTTCACGTCGATGTTTCTCTCTCTCTCTCTCCTTCCTCTCTCTCCCTCCCACTCTATCTGTACAAAAAATGGAAAAATATCCTCGGGTGAGGATAAAAAAAAAAAAGTAACTGGGATCTGATGATTTGGAAAACTCTCAGTCTATCTAGGTTGCAAAAGACATTATATTAGAGGATTCCCTGTCAGAAAGCATGCTCTGGAGGGAAATCCAAGGGCGTGACTAGACAGCCTTTTGCTAGTATTGCAGAGGATCCAAAGTCTAGAGCATCCAATCTCACTGAGGGATCTTTGAAGAGATTAGACATATGGTTCACGGATCCTCATGGACATCTAAGCAGGAACCAGGAATAGAGATGGGATTATCCAGCAAAGACTTGTAGAGGAATCTCTTGTCTAATGGAATAAATTCTAGAGACATACATAGGAGACCCACAAGGTTTCTGAGAATGTCATACCGGCAGAAACACTTCCAGCTAGAACTGAATGAGAGAGAGAAAGGAGAAAATAAAAGAAGGTTGTCAGACTCCCGAAATTCTACAGGCAGGAAACAGGTTGATAAAATCACTTAGCTGCAAGCACAATGTACCCTTCGTGAGAGAAAAAGATGACTTTAAGAGTGGAGCCATGGGCCCAGAGGGTGGAGCCCTCAACCACAGGAATTATTCTTGGGCCTTGGAACCTAATAGAGTTGGCCCAGTGGATTTAAAAATTGCTTGGCTTTGGTGACACCCTTTCTCCTTTCATTTTCTCCCTATTGTAGTGGGAATTTCTATAACTGCTTTCCTATGCCTGACCTATCACTGTATTTAGGAGCAGATAACTGGCTTTCTAGTGTCACAAATACACAGATGGATAGAAACTCTGCCCTGATTTGGGTTATATCCAGAGTCTCACCCATGCTTAATTTAGATGATAAGGATGATAAAATTTGGGAACTTCAAGCAGATGAGACTTAGACATATTTTGGACTTGAATTGATACTGTAGTGGGTTGAGACTTCTGAAAAACCTGAGATGAGATTAATGTATATTGTATGTGGGATGGAAATAAATCCTTGGGGGCCAGAGGGCAGACTGTGGTAGGCTGAATAAATGGTCTCCAAATATGTCCACGTTCTAATTCCTGGGATCTGTGAATGTCACTTTACATGGTAAAGGGACTCTGCAGACGTAACTAAATTAAGGATCTTGAAATGGGGAAGCCTGCCCTGGATTATCCAGAGGGATCTAACATAATCACAAAAGTCTTTGTGAAAGAGAGGCAGGAGGATTAACATCAGGAAGAAAAGATATAGGATGGACACAGAGGTCAGGGAGGAGAAAAGATGTTACACTGCTGGCCTTGGAAGAGAAAAGGGATTCTCCTCTAGAGCTTCCAAAAGGAACACAGGTCTGCTGACATCTTGATTTTAGACCAGTAAATTTGGATTTCTGACCTCCAGAACTGTAAGAAAAGCCACTAAGTTGGTGGTAAATTGTGACAACAGCAATAGGAAACTAACAGAGCTGTCTCTTTTACACCCTCTCCCTTCCATCCTGCCCAACACCAAATATCCATGGTATTTATATTGAGCAAACAGAACAGTGCCTGGCATATAGTAGGTGCTTAACAAATATTTTCTAAATGACTATTTTATGTCAGTGACTGGGGTGGCTGTAAGAAGGGGTGGAGAGCACCCACATGCCATGGAGGTGGCATTGTGATGTGACCCTTAACAAGTTACTTAACTCCTCCACGCTGCATCTTAACATCTATAAAAATGGATTAACAAATCCCTGCTTCACAGAAGCTTTATTAAAGTAGTGGCCTGACCTGGGAAAGATTGTGCCCCCCAGAGGGCATATGACAATGACTGGAGATGTTTTTGGTCATAATGGGAAATGGGGTGTTGTGGCTTCTAGCAGGTAGAGGCTAGAGATGCTGCTAAACATCCCAGAATGTACGGGACAGTCCCCCACAACAAAGACGTATCTGGTCAAATGTCAGTAGTGGTGAGGTTGAAAACCCCTGTACGTGTTAAAGTGAGCACGTATTCATCAATGGCATTTAAAAAGATAATAACAAGGTCTTCTAGTTGAGGGTATTGAGGCAGGTGGTCCATGCAACCTTCACTGCAGCTAGAATGAGGTCATGGCTCATGTCTTCGGTCTGACTGTGTGGCAGTTGGAGGTCAATGGATTCCCTGTTCCTCTGCACGGAAACGTGATGTTTGATAGCAGTTTCAGTGATTGTGAAACTAGTATCCTTTACAGAGGAATAATGCTTTGTACTTTATAAAACATTTTCAACTCATTCTTTCATTTGATCCTCACAGTAACCTGCAAGATCGGTCGGTGGAGCAAAACCCTGTGCTAACTCGAACTCCTGCTAAAACAGGATGGGCAGTCGGCTCCTGTTCTTGGCCCAGACCCCAATCTCAAACGGGGTCAGCTTCAGTTGTATGTTCTGCAGGGAAGGAGGCAAGACTAGATGAGACAACCAGGGGCAAACTCCTCTCTGGAGCCTCAAAATTCTTGCCTAGTCACTGTGGAATGAAACAAGAAAATGGGTCCCAGCTAGCTGGGACAGTCCTAGCTGGAAGATAGCTGCTGTCCAGGAAATCCCCATCTGTCCCGGGGCCCACGGTCACCCCCTCCGTCCCCAATGTCTAAGGCAGAGCGGAGCCACGAACCACAGCCAGCCCAGGAAGGATGTGGATGGGACATTAGGATTCTTGAACCCATGGTCAGCTGAGCAAGCTCCCTCCAGCCTCTTCACTACCTTGATGATGTCGCAACTCCACATTTAAGTGACTAAATTTTTGGAGTCTCCCAAATTGGAGAACTGAGGCCTAGAGCCTCTGAGCTGGTCCAACTAGTTACAGTGAGGAAATGGCGAGAGGTAACGTGCGCCCCCAGCCACCGCTCCTGCTCCTTCTGATTCCATCAGGGTGCAGTCGGGGGGGGGAGGGGGGGCAACGCCCAGTGTTAATGTACTCGTGCCAGTAGGCATGCTAAGGGCTGAAGTCACAGTGGGGAATACGGTGGCAAAGCCTCAAGCAATCACCGCACAAAGAAAAAGAAACGGGCACTTCAGATGTGGCCAGGACCATGGAGGAAAGGGCCTGCCTAGATGGCAGAACACAGTGGGTGGGCGGAGGGAGCCCCGATGGAGGCTGGCCAGGGAAGGTGGGTGACGCACAGCTGCCCGGGGAGCCGGTGGGGCACAGTGTGCCAGGCAGGAGGAACAGCAGAGGCCAAGGCCAGCAGGTGGCAACGGTGGAGGGCAGCGCGCACCCAGTGAAGGGAGGGTAGGGAACAGGAAGGGGTTACCCAAGCCAGGGCTCTGCAGGCCTCAGGGCAGAGTCTGGACTTTGTTTTATGGACAATGAGAGGCCACTGAAGGGCGCTAAGCAGAAACAACATGATCTGATTTCTGTTTTCAAAGCTCATTATGATGCTTGGAGACCAAGTGGATTTTGAGTTGGGGCCAGGGTGGAGACGGGGCAAACAGTTGCAGCTGCGGCAGCAGGTGGAAGATGAA